CACTTCTATCAATCGAAAGGAGACTGCGACCACACCAGAGGCCACAACATCTTGGTCTTCATATATTTTAGGGTTAAGTTTTCCTTAATTTTTCACTTGTTAAAATGTTCTACCTGCTAATAATCCAACAGTATTTGTTCTAATTTTTTTTATATCGGCCCAGCCGGAATGGATACTCCAACGAATCGACTGAACTTAAATCAACTTGAGATCGCTATTCGCCTGAACCGAGCCGATATTGCGAGGGACAAAATCTTCTTGGAGGGCCGGAGGTGGAAGGTGTGAAAAATTGACTAGCCTTTATCTACATCATTATCATCATTACAAACAGTTGATTTGCTAATATTTATAGTTATTTTATACCTTTTACTGTAGAAAAATGAACTGGATGAATTCCTGCACACCATGATTTTGAACGACCAGAATGAATTCGTCCAGCTGATGATAGATCAGGGCTTCAACTTTGAAGAATTCCTCAGTGTTCATCGCTTGGAGAAGCTATATACTGATTGCCTTCACAATGGAGTAAGCCAAGAGAGTAAAGTTACAGCCATGCAATGACAAAGCTAAAGATGTGCACATCCTCATTTACATTTCGTTTGGAGTAAATCAAACGATTTTAGAGCAAAAGAAATCGCACGTCTTCTTCCAGTGTGATCGACCTACAAAGCCATTCGTCCAATACTTTCTCATTAAATTAACGTCACCAAAATAATGCTATCTCAGGAGATAGACAGAAACCCTATTTCCCTTTGTGTACAAAACTTGATATGATTGAAAATTTATTTTTACTCTAAATTAGAGTTAGAATGAAACCTTGGCCCCAGCAGTGTTCCAAGTTTTTTGCCTTGCTTATTACAATATTTTTTCCTAAAAATCAACTAATCTTCCCTTATACATTTTATGATCCTCTGTTTTTGTCTTTACATCGTAATCAAGGGTTCAAAGACTGAGCTTTTTCAGCAGATGTGGGAGCGGCGTCGGATTTACAAAATGGACTGGGTGATGCTGCGTGATATCGGAAAGATCTTAAAAGATTTAATCGGCGACTTTTATGAACCTCTTTATCTGTCAAGCTTTTTCCAGAAGCAGGTTGTGGAAGTGGACAAGGAGGAGCTTTCGGAAGGAGAAAGCAGGAGTGAACTTCTCTCTTCAGCATCCAGTGAGTCATAATGTAATGTCGGACTTTAAAAGTGAGGATTACTAAACTTTAGAACGTTCAGAAATGAGTAAGCGAGCATGATTTATAAGTTTATGAATTATGCTGCGAGCTAAGCATTTATAAATTTATAAAATAACCATTTTCTGAGGTCCAAATAATGTCCTACAATTTTACTCTGATATGTAAACATTTGACTTTAGCACTTAATTGCAGTTCTTCCAGTCATCCTATCTGCGCCAACTTTAAATATAGAATATAGGGCAATATTTCGTATGCAAAACATTGGACTAACTTGTGAAACTGGCTTAGTAACTGAACAAGTTACTATCAGAGGCTAATTTAAGATTTATATTTAGTCGGCAGAGT